TTAAATATGGTTTGTGAAAAATATTTTATACCAGGTCCATATTGGATTACACAATTGTGTGTTAATGTAAATGAAATATGGCATATAGTGTTAAAATTAAAATGTGTATAAATCAGTTTTATTAATTATAATTTGATTTAATTTGTCTGATCAAAAGCTAGTAAGTTTATTTCTGCATAGATATTTAAATTTTAAGTGAAGACAAAACCAAACTGAGATTCCTTATTTATATATTTCATCAAGTAAATTTAAAAAAAAAAAAAAAAAAAACTCTGGTTTGGTTAAAGCCAAGTTATTAAAACTCCAGCAAATTTTTTCCCTGATTATTTAACTTTGGATGAACTGGAGAAAAATTAAAAGTATTATATATATATATATATATATATATATATATATATTGTGACGGAAGTCTGAAAGCTTACAAATAAATACTGCAAACAATGGTAATATCTCTTATATATAAACTACTAGCCCTAAATTAAGTTCCAAGATAGCTTCTTTTTTGTTGTAGGCTATAGAATGAGGAACATTTAACCATGCAGAATATTAGATATTAACATCTTTTTTTATAATGATAACAAAGAAAAAGTTGTCAGTCAGAGTATTTCTGGAAAATAACACTTTTAAGGCAAGTGATCTTTTTAGTTCTCAATCTCAAAAATATCAAATGAAATAAAATGTAGAGATTACATCCACCTCTCACAGGGTTTGATGGTAAATTTTAATCAACAAATGCATTAAATGTTCATTTATCTGTCCCTAAAAATTGATAGACTTAGAGAAATGAATCAGTCAAAACAACATGAAAAAGAGCAATAATTAAAAACGCTCTTATTCCCTCTTTTGAGAAATCCTTTTTCTTACACCTTTTATGTACCTTTTTTTTTTCTTATCTTTTTTTCATTTTATGGTGAATCTTTTTTTTTAATTTTGGGGATTGTAATTGCTACATGCAGGAAATGTGTAAATCATATAGTTTATGTGAATAAATTTTGGTTAAAAAAAAACTTGGATTTCCTATCTCAATTTGGAAGTGTTTGCAAGAAACAAACCTTGTTTTTTTTTCTTTTCATTTTTTATCTTTAATATTTGAATGACTTATGCAATTTAGGCTCTTTCAGAATTGTTTTTGATCTATTTTTTAACTTTTTATTTATTTATTTGAAACTGAAGTTAGAACTAGAAACATAAGAACAAAATATATTTTAATTTCTTATTAAGTAATTTATGATTACTTGTGTTAGAGTACCTTTTAATAATAGTTGGCTGTTCATCAAAGTGTATCTTGAACATTTTTTTCTGTCTAGGTAATTTTATCAATTGCTATTGTTTATTGTTGAAGAGATTTAGTTTTTCATTTTGAATTTAGTCATTTATATAAAGTTAGATTAATGATTTTTTGGGATAAAGCTAATTAATCTTCTAATATAAACAATAAAATGAATTCTATTTGGCATTGAGATATTGCATCATGATATATACTCAGGATAGAGAATTTACCCAAGAACACTTTGTGAATTAAAATATTTTTATATTTCTTTTACCTTGTTTACTACTTGTTCCTCCTATATTAGATATTTATCAGTATGTTTGTTGATGGTTGTTAAATTTTACTAACAGGATTGATTTATTTAAAGTTAAATAATTATTTAATTTATATGGAAAAAGTCACCTTAGTAATCCAAAATTGGTATATAAATGTTAAATATGATAAAAAGGTTAACCTAAAGCTTCTCTACAGCAATTTTTTTCTTGATTGTGCTCCTTTTATTTGCCTACTGAAATGAAACTCAATGTTTTTAACAAAATTTATTTTTCAAGGTATGAAATCAATTAAATTTTTTCTGCTGCTTAAACAGTGACTTTGACAAAAGATTAATTTGCAAAGTTAAAATATAAAGCATCTATATTCTTATTTTTCTAAAGGATTTTTTTCTTTTAGCTCAAATTGGAGAAACTAATTTCAACACTGGTTAACATACTATTCAGCCCACTTTCTTAGCTTCAAATTTCAAATTGAACAATTAAACACACTTAATTGTATTAAGACAATTTGTTTCTATATTTTTTTGAACTTAATAGTAATTGCACTAATATAAATAAGATCTAAAATGGTCAAGAAATATATTAGCAATTATGACAGGGATGATATACAATTTTATAACACTCTGCAATAAAGGCTTCCTGTTTTATAGATTATACAGGAGTCTACTTAAATACCTCATAGATCTTTATCCCAGACAAAATTTTTATGCTGCTAATTGATAAGCATGTCTTTAATGGCTTGGCAATTTCAGTGTTGAACTCAGGTAAAATTGTGATTTATTATGAGGCAAGAAATAAAGATTATTATATGAACAGTTTTGAATAGTCATTTTGACACACAAAAGCAAATGATTAAACTGTTTTAGAATTATAAACATGTAAACTTAAAATACTTGAATAGTCTATGAATATGCAAAAATTGTTTTTTAAAATGTAGAAAAAATAAGTCACAAATCTGACTAGTCACAAATTCAAATGGTGTTCGCCCAACTTTGAGTACTAACCAAACCTCTTAGAACTGAAAAACAGGTATCTGCAGCCAAAACCACAGATTGACTATGATTTATTTATTTAATTTATTCTTTTTTTGTTGGTAACCAAACATTACCATACTCATGCAAATTAGCACAACTGTCATGCAAATATAGCAATACTGCAATCTATGTTGAGAGATTGCTATCTCCCCATCAGCCATTTATTCAGAACAATTACACCAGGCATGGCACTCTAGTTGAGGTCTTTATTTTTTTCATGTTGGTCTAGTTCTCTCCTCTATAAAATAAAATGAACCTTAATAGAAAAAAGATTTTAGTAGTAATCAACTTCATCTTACTGACATAAAGAACATTTTAATTTTGGGGATTTTAGCATCCCCAAAATTAAAATGTTCTTTAATCATACCAGATTTTAGCAATTTTGTCTTGAGAAATGATGTATTTATATACAGTAAAAGGTTTTGAAAATAAGGACTTTACTCAATAATAGTTAAATATTGATCAAGGTTACAAAAATTATGAACAAGTATTAAAGGCTTGATAGCAAATTGATGTCACTAGACATTCAAATTTTTGACAAACTTGATGAACAACCAACATAATCCATTATTTTCAGTAACTGAGTTAATGAACTTGGGCTTATTTAATCATATCAAGAAAAGTATAAGACAGTCATATAAATTTGTTTTTCAGTTATATTTTAAAGTGTTGTTCAAATAGAATAAATTAATCTTTATAAGAACTGAAACAAGTAGTTGGTATTCTTGAAATATTGTTTTTTTTTTCTTGTTTTATATGTATGATTTAATGTGCAGGAAGGGCACATGATGTGACTCATTTGTTTCTTTCTAATATAAGGCTCAAATTAGTCAAGGTGCATGCACTTGGGAGAACAATTGAGAAAAGATATTTCTATTCATGATTGACAATTTTATTTAACTTTCCATTTTTTTAAAATATCCAGTTTATTTTTAGGACAAACTTTACACTCCATTTGAGTATAATTTACTTACTCCTGAAAAGCACCTAATTGTATACTCAAAAAAATTTAAATTGCAAGGATATTTGGTAAATAATTGTTTTGTATCTTTTGATTCAAACAAAGAAATAAATGTCAAGTTGAATCTCATTTCAAATTGGTTGTTTATTTGAAAAAAAATGTTTTCAAATATCACTGAAATCTATATTTTCATTGCATTTTTTATTTTTATTTTCTTTAATTAAAGATACTTGATACATAACAAATATAAATTGAATGGTTGTATCCCCTTTAAATAAAAATGTCAATTACATATTATATATAGTCTTGTGTGAAGGCATTTTATTTAACAATTTGTGTGAAAATTAGTTATTTCTGTTTCATAGAAAATATGTCCAGGTCTTGCACAAGGAAATATTAAATTTAAAATAGTTGAATTCAAATTGCCAAACTTGTTACCATCTAATGGTCTGAGATACCTATTGTTGTAGAGATAAACACATCTCTCCGGAATATGACTTGGATTCATCCAAATAGCATATATACTGATGCTGAGAATTGTCAGGAGAGAACTAGCTGGGAGTGAGCCTTATATCCTTACTACAGAATTCAATAAGACTACATTGATTCCAAGTGACATCATATTTCATGATTGTGTTATGTTCATTCAATGGAATGAAGACAACATCTATGCAGTTGTTTTTACCTCTATTTTCAAGCTAGTTATAAAACTGCTGTCATTGTCACCTGAGAACAAAATTTTTCAATTATAATTAATGTTTAATGTTGCTAAAAGTAAAAAAAGGACACTTAATTCTTAATTTGAAAACCTGTCCATATGTAAATCTGAATGAAGCAATCTGTTGACTCTAAAGCAGAGATTGGTTTCATTATTTATTTTTTTTGTTTACTTACATAATTTTGTTACTATTTGTTGTTTCTAATTTTTTTAATTTATATAAGTAACTAAATGAAGTATATTTCAGTAATTTTTTTTTTCTGTAAAATGCTTTCCGTCACTGGTTAATTTATACTGTAATTTATATTTGGTAAATAATTGTCTCGCCATTTAAATAATTATTGTTTAAAAATTTTAGAAACTTTTAAGAATGTGTAAAAATTGAATTTACATTGGCATAATCACTTTGAATTCTGTACTTTAAGCTATGTACAGATGCAGGTATTTATTAAATTTAGTTTAGTGTGACATAAAGCAATGTGTTTGGACCACTTGGAGAAAATTAATTTCTCTATGTAGTAGTAATCATTTGCTTGACTAGCACACTCACTATTACCCCATTGTAAGGTTGACCCTAGCTTGAATAAATTACATTTTTATTTCAGATTGTTTAGCCTTTTCATGCTTGTTATTTTGTAACTTTTGAAAATATAACATTTTCGAAAATTTATGAAGGGAAACCTGTTAAATTTTAAGTTCTCTAAAATTAACAGTTTCTTGTTTTTCATCTTTATTCTATCAGCATCTGCAAAGTACATCAGAGAATTATGATTTCTGTGCCATAATGTTGGGTACTGGTAATTTGCTCGGATGGCTTGGTGTACTTCGTTATGTTGGCTTTTTTAAAAATTACAATGTAAGTATTTATGTAATCTTTTGAACTATAATGATCTTAAACTTCATGTAGTTAGCATTAGACATCTGTCATTTGTCTTCAGTAACAAATTAATTTGAAGAATTAGAAATTATATGAAATAGTATCTATCAGATTGAGAGGTTACAATATTGATATCCAAACTGTTAAATTGCGGGATTAAAAAGAACATTTGCTTGTGTAGTATGTAATCATGAATTATAGCCAAAAAAGTCTTGTGTAAATTGAGGTGAAAATGATCTTTTAAATATGAGATATTTATTATTTATTTTTGTTAGATTTAATTTTAAAACTGCCTACTTGCAGGATTTTCATTAGGTTTTACTAAATACTTGAGATTTTTTAATTACTTAGTTTAAATTTTTTTTTCCTGTTGTGGTTTTATTTTCAGATCTTGATTTTGACATTGAAACGTGCCTTTCCAAATGTAATTCGTTTTATGATTTGTGCTGTGTTGATGTACTTTGGCTTTGTCTTTTGTGGATGGGTCATCCTGGGTCCTTACCACATCAAAGTGAGTAACTTTACACTTCACTAGTATAGGTAATGGTAAATTTAATAATGAAAAGTAACTTCTTATTTAAAGAGTTCTTTTTAAAGTATTAGGAAAATATGTTTATACTTATTGTATAGTGTTTACAACTAGAAAATATATCTCTGAAGCCTTCTCTTTGCTGCATCTATTAAAAAATTCATGTTCATGAAATAATTTTGGAATCTTTTATTTGAATTATATAAAACTTCCTTCATTAAAAAGAGCCTTTCATGTTGTGCATTTCTACACTATTTCCATTAGCTTTGTAGTGTGTGTATACATACGCACATACAAGGGGAGATTAATTTCTGTAGTAGTTATCTGAAATTTTACTGTATAATATTTGATATAGAGATAGGCTATAGATGTATTGACAAATTTACATACATACTTTGTATTTTCCCCAGATTTTCAAATAATCTGTTGTACATTTGGATCAAAATTGTCGATAAACTGTCCAAAGTTCATGTTTTAGTTTGATCATTTTTGACTGCTTGGTCATTATCAGAAAGTAAATACTGTCATTACCATATACAAGAGTTTTTACGATTGAAATATAATATCAATTATATAATTGACAATGTGTAGACTGGTTCCACAGAGCTTGACAACACTGGAAACTAATATGTAAATATTTTATACACATAATTATGTATGTTAAATATTTTATACACTTTAAAATGCTGTCTCCTGAGGTGGAAGATATTTTAATTACTGTGGATTGTTTATTTTTTATAAGAACAGCAATCAACTGAGTGACAAATTTCATATTTGTATTAATCAGCCTTATGTATTTTTCCTTTGAAGTATGTGCTGTGAAAGTGGAAAATTTGTCTCATCATCTTCACTTTTGTTTCAGATACTATTATACATCCTACAAACACACAGTATGTTCTATATAGTATTTTGATATTATCCACTAATATTTGTTTTATGTTTATAGTTGTATTTTGGTTTTTGTGATTCGATGGTCAGTGATCTTGTGTGCGTAGCCCCACATGTACACAGAACTTTTGATACCTCTTTGAAATGGCTGGGTTCCAGTTTGAATATATTTTTTTTTTTAAATTGTTTTTGACATTTTTTTAAAATCCAAAATTTTTTTTTTAGATTTTTTCATAAATTTAAAAGGAAGTAAACATTTTTATATGGTGCTTAGAAAACTTCAAATACATAAAAAATAAGTCTATTATATTGAAATATGGAAATGAGAATTTTTTTCTTAATTTATTTCTTTTCTTAAAATTTCAGTTTCGGAAGCTGAGCACAACTTCTGAATGCTTATTCTCTTTGATCAATGGAGATGACATGTATGTGACATTCTCTGCCCTGCAAACCAGGAACACATTCATCTGGATGTATTCACGTGTCTACCTCTATTCTTTTATTGGACTCTTCATCTATGTCGTCCTGAGTTTATTCATTGCTGTTATCATGGATTCTTATGAGACTATTAAAGTAAGAAAATCCTTTTCTTATTTTGCCTTTAATCAGGAGATAGTGAGTATAGGGTGGTTATCTTTTTGCAAATTCCAACCATGAAACCTGGTTTCAAATCTCATCCTGGTTGATTTATCAAGAAGGTAACTTTTGATATCAACTCGGGGAGACAATCCCAATGACACCATTAGTGAGTATCTGAAAACAATACCATGAGTTGTCTCAGGCCTTGTGAGTGAAATTGATTAACAAAATTGTTTGGAAGCTGTCAATGGTTGTGCTAACATGAAATCACAAGTCATTGAATGTACTGGGTGTGTTCAACTAGATTATGCATGCTATCACAGACATTGTAACTAAAGTCTGCTCAATATAAACTACAGTTAGGCTCTGTGGGTGTTGAAGAAACACAAATGTGCCTGAGCTGACATCTGCAACAGGGATTAGCCAACCATCCTAACAGCAAAGCATATTTGGAAACAAGCAGACAACCATTAAAATTGCTCCTCATATGATGGTGTTCTACTGTTGAGAATGTTGCTTTTTGTAATTGTGGGTAATATTGGGTCTTGTTATTTTTGGTCGTACATACTTTAACTGTTTCCTGAGTCACTTGTAATTTTAAGCATGCTTTCATCACATAATGAATGCTGTTTCAATATCCATTGTTGACAGGCAACACTCAATGCAAACAAATGTATTTTTAACTATATAGTAAAAAGTTGGTTTTTTTTTCTTGTTTTTCAAAATCCAGTTAAGTAATTACTAAAATAACTAAGTGTTGTTAACATTACATTTCTATAATGATTACTTCATTTTTTAAACATTTTTAATTACAGAAATTTGATCTTTATAAGTTAATCCTGAATGATGGAAATCGCTTAAAACCTGCTTTAACTAATCAAAAGTATTTTTTCTTATAACTTCAGATTATTTTATTGTAATTAAGATAAAAATCAAAGCTTCCAAGAAGATAAATTATTTCAATCAATTTTTAAAATTTTATATAAGTCTGTGATAATTGCTAGAATTTGTAGTGGTTTTGGTTCTTAGTTGAGATGAGCACAACATATGAATTATACCATTTTATGTAGACATACTTTAGTTATTATGTATGCAAAATAGGAAGTTTTTTTTTTGTCTGCTGTAAAATTGATACCATTGCTAGTTAGCCTTTTTTTCAATACAAGGTCCAAGGGCCACTCTAGCTACAGGATTACTGAGTGAGATTGTTGTAAGGGAAGCAGGAATAAAAAATGCATATTATGAGGATGTATAGGATAGATATTGGTTGACCCTAGACTTAAAGAGACTAAGATTATAATTGTCAGGGAAGTATCCTCTTAAGAGTTTATTCCACAAAATAAGAGTTCTAGGGAAGAAGCTGTCTGAGTGGAACATGAAGGGAATGAAGATAATTTGCCACCATGAACATAACATAGTGGGTTCTAGCTGTGAAGATTTGAGTTGGTGCAATTTGTCAGAACATCTACCATAATAATGGCAATAGATTAGTGAAGGGTTAGAAACATTTTATCTGTGGGATAACAGTTGCTGGGTGGAGAATATTCATCACCTATAAGCACTTATTGAGCTCTGCTAAAGTTGGACAATGAGGATTGGGCAGCACCAGCACAGATATAGCAGTGATACTTCATTCTTAGTTTGATCTAACTCTTGTAATGACAGAGCATGGCACTGGGAATTAGGTATTTTCTGGAGTGATACAAGAAACCAATCATTCTTCCACCATGTTTTGCGATAACATTACTTTTGGTTTTGAAATGGGTCTTTATTGCTAGTTTAGTATTTAATTCACCTCACTTATGTAGGAGTAAGGATTGAATTGTAGCTTTTGATGTTTCCAGTTCAAGGCTCTACCTAAGACATGATATCTTTCTCATTTTAGCATTATTATGAACATGGCTTTCCAAAAAGTGACCTGTTTGCATTTATTGAAGAATGCACTGATCCACCAAATTCTGCCATTTATCGACAAGAATTACCTGGCTGGGATTGTAGTACTGTTTTTTGTTTCTGTTGTCAACGGTAGGTATCATAAGAAAGTTTTGTTTTTAAATTTATATTCCTGTCACCAAACCCAGCTTTTTTGTAGCTGATATAAAATGTCAATAGCCATCTCATCCAGTGAATAAAGGAAGCAGATGTATTTTGAGAAATTAGATTTTTGCAAATAAATGTTCATTATTAAAGAAGCAAAACATTTTTCTTTTTTCTTTTTTTTTTTTATAAAATAGCTTAAGTTAGTGTACTGAATTCTTCTTACTGAAAGAATTCAACCTTTGTGCAGCATTAATATAATTTTTTATATTAACAAATTTTGCTATCATTTAAAACAAAATTAGAACTTCAAAATAAATTTGGTAAAATTTGCAGAAGTATTTAGTTGGATTAGTTTAACTAATCTAAGTTCAGTTATCAAACACATACCAAAAATAAGTTAGTTACTTAAAGTTTCAGATGTTTAATTTTGATGGGAAAATAATTCTTTTGTTGATAAAAGAAATTAATGAATATCTTAAATGTTCTAATTGTGCAGTGAAATTATTCATGAGAACAAATAAGTTTATTCTGTATAACCAGCATTAAAATCTTAGATTTTTGAATTTATTCATTTTTATATGAATCATGACAAAAGGAAAACTTCTCTTAGCTGATACATCTCATCCTCTGAGGGACTTTATCAAGGCAAATGCAAGGATTTTTTTTGTAACATTGCATTGCCTTGATAAAGTTCCTCAGAGGATGAAATGTGTTGGCTAAGATAAGTTTTCCTTTTATTTTTATTCATATTGTCCTTAAACAAATGTACTCTATCTGAAATCTTTAAACACACACACACACATGCATGATAGCTGGCTCATTAATAAAAAAATAAATTTTAACCCCACTAAATAAAATTAGCTCTTCACATAAAAAAAGACCCGGATCTTATTAGTAGATTAAAAAACATACATAAAAAAGACAATTGTGTGGATAGTTTAGATTTAAATTCATTGCATAAAAATGTTTCTATAAACAAATACGTAAATTTCCTCAAAATACACTTAACAAAATCAAAAATAAAATTACTTCTCTCCACACAAAATCATAAAAATGTGCCAATTATGAATCAATTTTTTTCACCTTTAGCAACAACTTTAAAAAAAACGAATTTTCATTTACCAATGGGTTCCCATCTTAGTAATATTTTAGCTTGTCTCTTTTAGAGTTTCTTGAAAGTGGCCTCTTTTTTTTTTTTTTTTTTTTTTTTTTTTAAATATTTTATCACAAAATTCTTATTTTAGATACATAGATGATACTCTAATATGTCCTCATGACACAATTTTGCCAGATCTTGTTAATAGACTCAATAGCATGTAACACATGATAGATTTTACTTTTGAAACCAGAATTAATAACACATTATCCTTCCTAGATATGCTAAATAGAACGAATGACAGCCTCCAACTAAAAATTTATCAACAATCTAAAATCTACCAACAAGAATGACCACAAACTATTATTCTATTATTTATGTAATAAAATAAAATCTGGAGTAATTATTAGATTTTATTTAAGAGCACTATGCATTGGCATCTCCCAATATTTAGATCAAGAAATATATATTGAAAATATTTTTAAAAACTTCCAGTAAATTTATTTCATTCACAATGATAAAAGAAAAGCATACAAAATCTACAACAAAAAAGATAACAAGATTAATAATACATTTCTAAGTAGATAAAAATAGATATATAATATGACCTACTAATTCCATAATATCTACTTTTCAAATTAATATATCCAATCTTCATATTAAATTAATTACAACTACATCTAAAAGTTATTGATGTGATCAGAACCAAAAATGACCATTAATATCAATAATTCTGAAGCATGAATCTATAAAATAAACTCTCAAGGCTATTCCTTATAATATATTGGTGAAACAGAAATTTGAAAAAAAAAAACGTATTTATAAGGAAGATTTCCTACATAATAATTTATTGAGAGCATTAATTATACACAAATGATATCAACCCCAATTTTCATCTAAAAATGCTGTATTTATTAAGTGTGAAATTGACTTAGAAAAAAGTTATTGAAAAGGCACCCATTGAAACTTGCCAGAGCATTAACATATGGTATGGATTTTTTCAAATATCTCCTTTAAGTGATCCTTTCTCAAGCCAACATTTATGTATGATCATACATTTCTTTTTAATTACCCCTTAAAAATAAATAAATTTAAATGAATAAACTAAATAAATAAAATAAAAATAAATATTTCCATAAAAAAAAATTTATTATATATAAAGCTTATGTCACTTATTGCTCTCCAGAGAGTTATAGTATACAATTCCTACTTTGAATCCGATCACAGACTACTTGTAACTAAACTGCTATCATTGGCCAACAGAATATCTCGTTTCTGCTCACATGAACCAAGAAAAATACCTTGGTATAATATCCAAGCCCTTAAAAATGAAAGGGCAAGATTAGAATTCTATATAAAATATAATTCAAATTGATGTCCCTAAATCTTGACCATAACAACATAGAGGAATCAAATGTTATATCTTCATTAGCTGAAGTGTGTGAGACAATTCCAAGAATACCTAGAAGGAAAAAGATTCTCCTCTAAGACAAAATCCCTGAGTTTTAAAAAAAAAAAAAATCGATACAGGAAAGAAACAGATGAGGAAGAAAAATTGGAAAGGAAAATACTAAACAGTTAAAAAAAAAATACCAGTTAACATTGAGAAACTAATATCTCTGAAAATTTGGAAATGAAATTAATGAATCTAAGCAGTGTAGATAATGTGTTGAAATGTGGAGAAAAGTGAAAAATCACAATAACATCATACAATCAAAACCAACACAATAAATATCCTGATCTCAAAAAACACATTTCAACCTTGACCACACTAAAGTTGCCTGCAGAAATAGAACATATACCAATATACATCCAAATAAACAATAATTAACCTACTGATGAGGAAGTTAAGAAAAAAAAGAACTAAGAAATAATAAATTATCACTTGACTTTGAGGCTGAAATTTTAAAATTAGTTTATGTTAAGATGTTAACATGCTACACTATTTCAAACAAAAGTTTGGGAAAGAAGCCCCATCAATATTGGAAAGACTGATAACACCTAGTGAAGTTAAAGAAATCTATTATTCTTAAAAATTCTTCTAAGATTTTCTAAATTTCAACCTACAGTGGCACTGGCTGCTTGGACAAGGAATGCTGAATATTTCCTTATAAGGAAATAGCTAATATTACCATAGCCATAGTTTACCTTTCCTTTATGAATAAAAATTTTAGAATATTTTACTGTTCTCTAATTCAAAATTTGAATGTGTAACATTATTCTTCTCTGTGTTACTTCTATGTATAAATACAGATTACTAAATAAAATTTCTACATTTACCTTGATAAGGTTCCTCAAAGAACAAAATGTTTTGGTGTAAATAGTTTTCTTATTGTCATTTCTTTTATTAATATTATCTTTACAAATATATTTATATCCAAGCTAAAAAATTTCACGGTTTTCCTATTTGAATTTTTTGGTGAATCTTAATTCTTCAGTTAATAATTGAATAAGCGCATGGTTAGTCCTATGACAATAAAATATGCATAGAAATTCCCCCATCACATTAAATATTTGAGCTTAACAACTTCAACAAAATATTGCAATAAAGATCATAAATATGAATGCTGGTCATTATTTTAAGAAGTGGGTACAAATGAAAAGATTTGAAATTGACGACTTTTTCATTTCACTGAAACAACTGTTAAACACTTCTATTTTTCCCTTCTTTCTTTCATTCATTTTTTCACTGAAACCAACTAGGCTTGTTTCTCTAAGTAATCAAAATGCATTATTTATGAGGTACTGGCAGGAGATGTCAAACACTTCTATCTTCCCTTTCTAACCAAATCCATGTCTTACAAACATTTCTCTTAATGATTTAAAAATAATTCAGCAGACGATGCTATTTTATTTATGTCAAACTGGATTTTTGGTGATTACCTTATTCAGTTTTCATCATTTGTTACTGTGTGACTAAAAAATGGCACTTTATCACAGTCACCAACACTTCCCAGCCAAAAGGCTGGGATCAAAGTGTAGTATCTGCCCTTGGGCAGATAAACTACATTTCATTCGTCAGTTGTGTCTTTGTCTTTGGACAGAGTGCTATTCAGTTGTGTCTCTGTCTGTGGAGAGAGTGCAACTGAAAATATTATTGAGAAGTTCCTGGTCTTGAGAAATAGCTGCCTGCAGCAGTACCTCCTTAATTGTACTAAACAGGACAGGATTGGTAGTAATACTGATGCTAGCATAACTGATGGTTGCGGGGACAGCTATTTTTGGACTTGGCTCATGTGCACACACTTGGTCTCCCCACATTAAACTGACCTTGTGTCACATCCTGTCAGCATGGAGTGGCAAGAATATACAATCACTTCTTGGCCTTTTGGCTACGATCAAAGTGTAGTATCTGTTCTTATCAGCTTAATCTGATTTTCTTTCCCCACTTTTATGTACCCTTCATTCTTTCATTCATTTTCTCACTGAAGCAAATTAGTGTCTTTTCTCCTCTTTCCATGCAATCAAAATGGAATAGTCCATTATTTGAGATATTGGTGGGGTGTAATGGTTGTTCAAACTAATGAATGGAGTGACAAGCACAATTATAATAGGATTTTTAGTGTTTTTGTTTTTTTTTCAAACTGGAAAGTATAGTTCATCTAGGATTTTGTTATAAATATCCTATAAAGTCTTCAGATAAATTAAGAAATCTTGGTTGAATTATTTTACTTTATGATATTAATACTATATGCTATTAATACTCACTCATAGTTTAAAAAATTATTTTTCTCGTGCATTTTCATAACTTATTTATTTTAAATTTAGTAGATTATTGGCCTATTTATGAACACTGAATTTTAATTCTAATATAAAATTAAATAATGACAAGCTTTTTCTTTTTCCTTATAAAGGAATATCCTATATTGAGAAAGAACCAAGTTATAGTTTAGAATAAATTCATAACTGAAAAAAAGAATCTAAAATAGTACCTAATTTTAGTTCAACATTTGCTTTTTACTATATTCCCACTTTGTAGGAAGCAATAAAATGACAAAAAGTGCTAACTTTTTCTGTTATATTGCTTTTGTTTTCATTATTCAAAATTCATCATGAGGGCTCAAGGGATTATTGAGACTGAAAAAATATTAAGTTTACTTTTACATCTTCAATCATTTTTGCTTTGAGAAAAAGTGCAATTATTTTATTTTTTCACAATGTATCTGATAGGACAAAAATGTATAGTCCTTAGCATGACTTGTAAAAACAAGTATATACTAAAACACTCAAACACAGCAGATTATTGATAGTCATGTTGAGTTTTTGGATGAGTATGTTAATTCTTTCACAGAATCAATGCTCTTTGTAATTAAGGAGAAAAACTCTTTCATAGAGAGGCAGAATAGATAGAATAAAGTAAAAACCTATACTTTGTAATGTGGATCTTTGGATGAACTTAGTTTTTAGCCTACAAGAATTGATATCAACTGTTCTGTAGTATATAGCATTTTTGTGTTTTGACAAAGTCAGTTTAAAAGGAAGAGAAAGGAATATTGTCTCTAGAAATGTTTCAGTTAAGCAGACAGCAGCATATAAATTAGGATATTGTTCAGTATATTCATAGAGAATGTATAATAATAATGAATGAATATTGTTTATTCTGTAAATAAGAAATTTGATTAAAAGAAAAATAGAAAATTGGAAACTATTAAAGAAATTTAAAATAAAAACTTCAGTTCACTTAAATTCTCATTTGGAATAAATTCTGGAAGGTAAAAGTGGTAACTAATATTCATTAAATCTTTATAACCCATTTGTTGTGATTAAAGTGAAACAAAAATAGTAAATATTTTGAAATAAAAATAAAAAATGCCAAAAGTTAGATTTTTTTTGTATTAAAGAAAATTATTATTAGTATTCATTGAAAAAAAAAAATGAACTGTCCTTTTTATTTGTTTTGAATTTCTCTGTTTATATAAGTGAAGAGTTGTACATAGCATTTGAAGTTAAATGAAATAAAAATGTTAAAAAAATATATACTTTTAATGAAAGTCCACAACAAAACTAAAACTTCTGCTTGTTTTAAGACTTTCTGAATTCAGTGCAAACAGGTGAAAGAAAAGATAGTGAATAATTACCCTTGATTTTATATTTTTTTTGTCAAGACTTTCTGTTCATAGCAATCTCGACTTTTTCCAAAATATTCCCAGTGCTTGTTGTTTATAAGTTTTTCACATCAAATTGTATTCTTTTTTATTTTTCAAGGAATAATCCTGACAATCCAGATGAAACAACTCGCTTGATAGGCTGAACTGACTACTGGAAAGTTTGTCAAGGTTCTAACTATATGAATACAGATCCGTTTTCTGTTTTTCATCTGTTGCAAGATGAAATATGGAGAAAAACGTTTTGCATATACTGAGGACAATTCCTGAGTCGAGACAACAATTTCATAAAAAAAATTGAGTTATTTTCCCTGAAATTCTCTCTTTCAAGATAAATGCAAAAAGAAGTGTCACACTACATTTGGATCAATACTGGTTGATTATGAAAGAAAATTCCCTCCCCCTCATTCTTCTAATATTTCTCTTTCATGTTGTTATTTATTTTAATATTCTTGGCCTTTTCAACATTGTAGGAGGTAAATACAAAAATAACTACACAAGCTAAAATGAAGAATACTGCCAAAAATTTAAGTTTCAATTTATTCCCATAAACAATGACATTTTACATGATGTCCATTCATGAATGCTCTTCATTGCTGTTTTGCCAACTACCTTAAATTTAGATTATTGTGGCTCTAGAAATGTAGGCTTAGATTTTTTTTTTTTTACTTGTGATAGTTTACTATTAAAGATTAAATATAATGTAAGATGCACATTGCTTTCTAACTTATGTAATACAAATTTAATATCAAAATAAGTATAAAATTTTACTAATATAAAGATACAGTTTGCTCATTTTAGGTAGTGCCTTGTAACAGGACAAACCATGAACAAAAAAATTCTAATTAAAAAATTTTTAATATTTTTAAACTTAATTTTTAGTGTTGTCTTCAATTTGTTTGGTTATTTTATGCAATTTTGGACAGTCAGATATTCTCCCCACCTTCAATACTTCAAGGTTTTTCTTCATACAATAAATATTTTTTTTTTTATTTTTACTCTTCTTTATTCAGTTGTAGACCTTGCCAAGGAAGATGGCTAAGGTGATTCCTTTTATGAAAATTGTGGTTGTGTGTTATACAAATAGGGAGAAATCCTTCAATCTCTTGCCAAAACCAGACGTTATCTGTAATACTTTTTTGAAAGAATGTACCTATGTATGTATATATGTGTAAGTATAGATTAATGTTTGTGCAGCTAAAAAAGATTAAAATATTTACCCACCAAATCTCACTATTTTTTATTATATGCATTAATGTATGGTTTGGAATGTAAATATAATAAATGTATGCTTGAATTCTTGTGAATGACTGTGTTGTGGTATACATTTAGTATGTTTGTAAAGCATACTTGATTAAGAATCTGTGTCCCTGAATGTGAGCATTTGTGAGTTTGTATACAGGTATGATAGATTTTGCATAATAAAACCATTAGTTTTTTTTATTTTGATTTATATATGTTGTTATAGATGAACTATTGGGAAATGTGGATCATTATAATGAAACATAAAATTTACTATCAGAAAACATGTATAGAATATGGCATAAAAGTAGATGTATAGATCCATGAGTTTGTGTGAGAGATGTATGAATGTTATAAAAACGCAAATGTAATATCTTCATATGTATTTTGCCAGTGTGGTAGATGGTTAACATTTTAAGTTGCCTTGAAAGCTTGAGTTTATGACAGAAAATTGTCTGGATTAATTTAAATAGTTGATGCTTAGCTTTTACATTTTCAGGGAAAAAGATCAGTAAAAATATCAATGACCAAACTTTTATTCTAAGAAACTTGTAAGATTTTCTGTTATCTGAGATTAATTTACTATAGATAAGCTGCAGATGAAAACATTTCTGCTCTTTTGTGCATGAAATTTTTTTTTTTTTAATTCTTTTTTTTAATACTCTTCTGCTTAGTTGCTGTTCTTTGTATTAACTTGTTTTTGAAACAGTTGACACAATTATTTATTACATTGTAATAGACAATATATTTTTGGTCTTTCTCCAGTACACATTGCAGTTGATCTTTCTAATACAATATCATTGACTTGGGGAAAATTGAAAAATATATTGGTTAAAACTAATGAAAGCAACAAAGTTGAGTTGTGTGTGCATGCATGCATGATAATAAAAGTAGTTAATAAGAGCTTCATAAATGAAGCAATAGTAAATATATCTGTTAGCTTAAAAGTAAACCCTCTAAAGAAAGGGAAACTAATTTCAATCTGTATGTCCATGATAATCAGATAATATTTTATCTTTTAAGTACAAAATGACATAAATATTCATTAAGTACTTTATACATAATACTATGTGAAGCAGCCTCAATCAAATCATGCTAGCAAATTCATAGAAAGTCAATTACAATCACTCATTGGAGACTTTGTTGCTTGACTGGAATATTATGAGAATTGTGTGTATATATGTGCATATTTCCTTTTACATATTGAAAACCAGAAATATAACATTCCAGTTGAATTACGAAAATGGAAAACTTTTTAAGCAGTATATTGTATGGCATGCATCATGTCAGTTGTCTCTTAATGTATATAGTGTATGTGTAGCATTGATAATATGCTGGTATACATGTTCAGTAAAATATCTACCTTGTATGTATAGAAATACATATGTTCAAATATTTTTGTGTAGATGTGTATAAATTGAGGGTTAGATATGTATTAAGTATGTCATGCTAGATTATACTATATATATATATATATATATATAATGATATACATTATTCGTGTACACAAGTATTGTATGTGTATGCAGATTTATTGTCAATCCTTCTATTTGTGAAAAATAATTTTTCACAAAACTATTTTCAAGCATTAATTTTTCTTATGATGTACCAACCCTAAGTTAATCAAGAATTTGTTAATCTGGGAGAAACATGTTTTCAGGCTGAGGTGTTGTTGCTGTAAGAATAACAACCATTCTTTGAATTCCCAAAAAAAGATGGTTCTTCTTGAAATTCTTAATTCTATTTATCCTAGTATCTTTTTGGTGCTTGTTCTTTCAGTGTTATCATTTAGAAATGTTTGCATAGATCCTAGGCTCCATCCATGTTGTGGCATCATTCACTTAACATAGTTATTGTTCATTAAATAAACTCAAAAACTATTTAAAATGTTAAGCCTGCTTTTTTCCTGGATTGCTGATTTTTGTATTAGTACCAGTCTTAACTTTATAAGCCATTCATTAATGAAGTTGAGCTCTTCAAATAACTTTAGCTGTAAGTTTTTACAGCTTTGGAGGAATAAGTCTTGAAACTTGTGTGAGAAAGGGATTTTCTGTTCTTATATTATAAAACTGACTGCAGCATATTTGAAATCTAATTTTTGAGGATTGATAGTATTTGTGAACTTCTAAAAAATTTTAGAAAAAAATCTGACAAATTTTGATGTGCATTATTGATGTTAAAAATTACTGCAAAATTTTGCATTCTTGTCTTTCTTTATATAAGTAATGTATCTGATCATTTTCATACAAATTTCTAATTTTTTTCTTTCAGAGGAACCCTCATTTAGTAACATTTGTTTTTATATTAGTATAGATTTTTTCTTTAAAAAGGAAAATAATGTGAAAATCATGTATCTGAATTTGCAAGTGTGCTCTCTCTCTCATATATATATGTGTGTGTGTGTGGTGCTTATTGGAAAGTGCTCAATATCAGTGATACAGCTAACATATTCAGTTGTATGGATATGAGTTTGTGACCCTGGGTTTCACGCTTTTGTGATCAGACAAATAATCATAAAAGTGTGAAACCCATATTCAAAACAACCATAAAAATAGATATATTGTATATATGTATATATATATATATATATATATATATATATATATATATATATATATATATATATGAAAAAAATTTGGAAAAAAAAACCAAAAATCCTTAAATGCAATTATGTTTATGTTTAAAATGAATGAAATGTCGACGTCTGACGTTTTTGTTTAATAAACCTTTTTCAAGACAATATTCATTAAAATACAATTCAGTTCAATTTGACAAAGACGATGGACATAAAAAAAAACAAGTCTTATCCAAAACAGATAACTGAAAATTTTTAAAATGATTTATTTTTGTTAGCATGGATATTGACTTGAAAAAAATTATTAAAAAGTAAAACGTCAGACGTCGATTTTCATTCATTTTAAACAACATAATTGCATTTAAGGATTTTTGGTTTGTTTTTTCCAAATTTTTCTTCATTCTGTCGGATCTATATCCATTTACATTTGCTTACATATATATATATATATATATATATATATATAGTGTGTTTGTGAAAGAGATTGTGAGAATTTAGCCGTTGTGATATTTTCTCTATTTTTAACTCTCGAATACTAAATGATATAAAAAAAAAAAAATAGCTTTGCTTTTGTCAGCAGCACGGCGAAATTTGCTTTTACATAGTAAGGGAGATAATACTCAATTATTCTAATCTACTCGGCTCTTGGATATTGGTAACAAAGTGACACTGTTCTAAAGTGTAGACATGGATTTCCTCTCAGTAAAAGTAAAATAAAATACTCATATTTAAAAGCATTATAAATATTTTAAAAAATGTATTCTAATCATTTTCTATATATTTTCCTTTTTGACCTATTATTCTTGCCGTATGAATGTTCATGTATATCAAATCAGAATATTGAACAATTATATATAGAACTTAAAATTTTGTTTTTTTGTTCAGAAAAATTCCTTATGTGGAACTGATGATACAATAAAGAAATGATATTAAATTAAAAAATGATTTGTTTTTCTTTATCATAGTTTAAAAACAAAATCACAATCTGCAATATTTTAACCATTTATGCCATATTAGGTACCTCCATGAGATCGCTAAAAAAAGAGCATAACATGATGAAAAAGACCCCAAATTTGACGAAAACAAAATTTTATTGTTTAAATGTTTATATTATTATTATTAAGAGGAAAGATCAATGTTTATTTTAATTATTTTTTAAAATTTTTCCTTTTTAGAACATTCTAAATTTTGATTAAAAAAAACCTTGTTTCTCTTTGTATCACTGGAACTAGTAAAATAACATATACAATTTTCAGCACGTTTTTTGTGTGACATTAATTTGGAAAATCTTGCAAAAATAAAAATAATTGTCGGATGTTAATGAAACTT